AACAACGTGTATAACTGTCTCTGATAATGGAAGCGGAGTAGAAGAACAAGATTTTGAAGGATTAGGTCAGTGATTATAAATAAAAATGTATAATATAACAATTGATAATTTAAAAAAAATATTATTTACTTTAATTTCATTTCAAAGTTAATTTCTTTATGAATAAAATGCGTAGTAGCAAAGAAATATATTAAATAAAAACTTTAATATTTTTGTATTGCAAAACAGGTTTAAAACATCATACATCTAAACTTTGTGAGTTTTCTGACTTAACAGAAGTAAGTACATTTGGATTTCGTGGCGAAGCTCTAAGTTCATTATGTGCATTAAGTGACCTGAGTATTGTAACCAGGCATTCGACAAGCGAACATGGATTTAAATTAGAATTCGATAAGAATGGTTTACTAAAAAAGAAAGAAATATGTGCTAGAGAAAAAGGAACATCAGTTCATGTAAGAAATATATTTAAGAATCTACCAGTTAGAGCGAAAGAATTTCATAAAAATATAAAAAAGGAATATGCACGTACTGTTCAAATATTATACAGTTACTGTTTAATTTCTGTTAATGCAAAAATAACATGTACGAACACAATATCAGGAAAATCGTCTAATCTAATAGTAAGCACAACAAATGCAGATAGTATTCTTAAAAATATTATTGCCGTGTTTGGTAACAAATCTATTGATAATTTGGTCCAAATTGAATTACAACCACCCAATGAAGCAACACTGGAAGAATACAATCTACCAAATAATTCCAAGATAGACTTTGATTGGGAATGTTACGTTAGCAATAATAGTCATACCTGTGGTCGTTCCACTTCTGATAGACAATTTTTTTATGTTAACGGACGTCCGTGCGATCTTACTAAAATAAGTAAACTAATTAATCATATATATCATAAATTTAACAATAAACAATATCCTTTTGTATTTTTGAATTTAAAATTGAGTCAAGAATGTGCTGATATCAATGTAACACCAGACAAAAGAACTATTTTGTTCACACAAGAAAAAATAATTTTAGCATGTATCAAATTTAATCTGACCAAAAAATGGGAATTCCTCCAAGGAAATTTTACCGTTAAAACGTTGACAGAAATGAATGTTGGATTTAAAAGAATAGCTTCTACTAATAATGATCCACCGGCAAAACGAATGCAAGTTTTTTATAGATCGCAAAATACTGAAAAACAATATGAAAAAGAAACACACGTAAAAACAAATAATAATTTAAAAGAAGACAACGAAGTCGTAGAAGAATTGTTAAACGTTGAAATACCTATTGACATACAAAAAGTAAAAAAAATATTTTATGAAAAAAAGAATACTTCTAAAAATAATGTTACTAAAAAAAGGATATTGAAATACAAAGCACAAATAGAAGCTACTCAGAATAGCGAAGCTGAGAAAGAACTGAAAAGAGAACTTACCAAAGATTCGTTTACAAAGGTTATTACGATATTGGTTAAGCAGTTTAATTGTTTCTATTAATTTAATATATACATTATAAGATTTTTTACATTACAGATGAAAGTTATTGGACAATTCAATTTTGGTTTTATTATAGTTCTATTGGAAAATGATCTTTTCATAATAGATCAGCATGCTACAGACGAAAAATTTCGTTTCGAAAAATTAAGTAATGAAACAAGACTAAAAACACAAAAATTAATTATTCCCAAACCTTTAAATTTTTCTTATTTAAATGAAACAATTCTCATAGAACATCAAAAAATATTCGAAAGTAATGGCTTTGAAATTAAAATTAATACTGAAGGTATATTTATCATTCTGAAAAAAGATATTTTATTTAAAAGATCCAATAATTAATAATAGTTGTTCTGTTTCAGAACAAATCGGTAAACGTGTTGAATTAATTGGAATGCCAGTTAGTTTTGGCTGGCAATTTGGACAAGGAGATATAGAAGAATTAATTTTTTTAATTAAAGAAGGATTAGAAAATAAAGTTTTTTTTGAAATCCCTCGTCCAAGTCGAGTTCAGCAAATGTTAGCATCAAGGGCATGTCGTAGCGCAGTTATGATTGGTACTGCGTTAAATAATACAGAAATGATGAAATTGGTAATACAAATGAGTCAAATGAAAAATCCTTGGAATTGTCCACATGGTAGACCTACAATACGACATCTATTTTCATTGTCTTTAATGAATAGATAACATTGAGCAATTGATTATCCTAAAAGCTTTAAAAACCAAATTGAAAAATAAATTTGTTTACATTCTCAAATATGTTGCATATATTATTGTCATAATCCTTACGACAATGCATTATAAAAGTGACAAAATTCCTTTAAAATTAATTAAAAAGGATAGGGATAATTACAAAAATTAATATCTTCTGAATATTTTCGTAGTATATAATTAAAATTATAAATTAATTAAACGCTAATCGTACGAAATATATTGTATCCAGAATGTGCTGTTGATATTATAGTACCAGGACACTGTGGATGCCAGTGTAATTCTTTGATATCTGTTTGACCTTGATGGATAAAAAGTAATTGTGGAGGTATATCTGTTATTTCATTATCTTTGAATTCTTCTGAATGATCTATTTCTATTGATAGATCCCATTGAGCAATTTGATCATCTGCACCACCTGAAGCAAACACAGTCGCTTCTTGAGGATGCCACTCTACTGTTGTTACAGGTGCGGTATGTTGTTTAAAAGTTGCAACAGGAGTTGATCCATTTGGACTAAATTCTCTCATGTCCCATATACAAAGTAATCCATCGTCCCCTCCAGATACAAGAAATTGATTTTCTCGACGATTCCAAGAGATGACATTAATATCTGCAGTGTGTGTTCCTGAGACTGATAACATACACGCAGATTGTGGGCTGACCCTTGTATCCCATATTTTGATACTATAAAGTAGAAAGAAAATCTTTATCATTTGCAAAAATGTATTAATGTTTTAAACTGACGTGTATTATTAACAACAAACCTTTTATCAACCGAACATGAAGCTAAAACATTTCTTTCATTAGGAGACCACTGAACATCTTCTACGCTATATGGTGCATGTGAATTATAAGGCCTTTGATCGACTTGCCAAGTTGCACTACTACTATTTCCACTGATGTGCCATATATGTATATTACCTTTGCAATCACCAGAAGCTAATGTGCCTTTTTCTGTAGGGCACCAATCAACAGCATATCCTTCACTAAGATGTCCATAGAAAGTAAATAATGATTTTATACCACCAGATTGTTCACATTTCTTACGATATGTCAGAAGTGAAGCAGTATTATTAACTGCTTGTAATTGTTCATTTAAATTCCAAAGGTTTACTCGACCTAATTCACTCCAACTTGCTGCTAACGTTGTATTTTCAATTCGTGTACACCTGAGAGTATTATAATTACATTTTATACGAAAGTTTCAATGATAATATGTTAATAATAATTATGTATATCATACATTAAACGTATAAACAATATATATTTATATTTACACATTTACCTTACTCTATTAACACATCCTTGATGTTTAATTGGAGCAACTGTCATAACAGGAAGCTTGTCATTGTTTTCATCTTCGGAATCACTAGATTCGTCTTCTGAATCTGCATCTTTCATGCCATGTAAATTAGACATTTTCATGACAAGAAGATTATTGACATGTGCTTTATCAGCTTGAGTACCAGCAACAAGATACATGCTAAGGGGATAGGTTTCTCTGTCACTACCTAGCTCATCTAAAATTACATCAAAACTAAGACATGGTGCACCAGATTGTGCATGATGCAACATGCGATACGTAGATTTATCAACAACAAGTTCCTCCTCTGGACCTAAAGGTTGCCCAGGTAAATACACTTTTGATTCTATGTTACTGCCATTCTGATATCCATTTTCATTTTCTACAATTTTGTCATCTTCTGAATCCTCATTACTATCGTCCATGCTTTCATCTTCAGCATCATTCATTATTTCGTGATCCATTTCTTCTGACATATCTTTATGGAAATATTGAAAAAGAAGAATAACTAATCTTGACACTAATTTTATCAATTTATGAACAGATAATCAAAATAAAATATAGAATTCTGGAAGCGTTGTAAAAAAATAAATTAACCAAAAAAAATGGTAATAAAATATATATATATATAATATTGAATTAATATTAAAGTTGTATATATTACTTATAAGTAAATACAATAACGCTAAGAATTATTAAATGTTTACCTTCAATAAATTTCAAATTTGTTTACGCTATTCAATCGCACATGTGCGCACGTGTTTTGTGGAAGATTCCAAACTGCGTGTTGCAATATGAACTAGTTTTAATACCTATATTTTGTATATAGTAGAGCACATCAACAAAATATATTAATAATATAAAAATTGTCCAAAAATTGTTTACGTCAACGTATAAAATATTTGTTATTATTTTTAATTTTATTTATGCAATACCTATTTATATTTATCTAAGCTTATACACGACACGTGCATACTAAGGGTGTGAACTAACACTATTCTCATGTTGCACTTTTAGTTTATATTCTGCCCACAAGAGTCACTAAAGTCGTATATACTTACCGAAAAAAAAAATGGTGAATATTTTTTAATATTTTATATCGTATATCACATGTATTTTGGTACATTAAATATATATGTATATATTTGTGTGTCTTTATATAGTACATAATAAATGATAAGGAAATAATAAATGAACTTTCTACATGAAAATGATCTACTAAATAAACTTGGAACTCAAAAATCTTTAGAATATTTTTATTAGAAAATTTTTATCAACAATAGGAAATCAAATTAGTGAAACTGCTCCTTTATGGACCAGTTTATTAACGCAATCTATATGAATAAACATAATAATAATAATAATGACAGTAAGTATAATATTATTTTATGTATAAAATACAATGATAATAATTGTAATCCCTTTAGGAGGAGAGGTAAAGTAGCAGCAAATAGATCAAATTTCAATGACACTTGCTTTCGCAAATGAATGGTGTGTGATATTAACTGTGTTTATTAAAATGGATATTGTTGCTAGAAATATTTATCACTTGAATAGTTGGTGAGACGGTGGAATATTAGGATTATGCCGTGGATTAGTATTGTGGAGGCTATGTAGATACGAGCGCTGGACGGGCTTGTGCTTTGCCAGTTGCAGCAGAGCCTCTGATATAGAAAACCATTTCCGTTTCCGACCGATAGCACGTGAATCTTCCCATTCTGGCAGCTCTTCGGTTACCCGCATAACCCATACCTGTGTTCTATGTTTGTGTTCCACATTCTAAAATTGAAAAAATAAATATATCTCATAGCTGTATGCATTAATTAGAAATATCATGAAAAATTTTGAGAAATTAAATTTTTCTAGAAAGTTGCATCATGTAAAATTTGATCCAGAAAAATCTCAAAAGCTAAATATTAATTATAAACCTCAAATATGCCAAGACAACGACCCAATTGTCCTAGAACACCAGCCTCCTCTCTGACTTCCCTAAGTGCAGTAACCGCTGGTTCCTCTTCCGGCTCTACACCTCCACCAGGTACTATCCAACTATCAGGCCTTCTACTGGATGTGACCAGTAGAACCTACAAAATGTTATTTACAGAATGATTCCTTTAATGAAGGAAGATTCAAAAAGAAATGTAATCTTCTAATAAAATAAATCTAAATTGTAAAATATAGTATATGTGAAATTAATGAAGAATATACAGACTGCCATCTGTTGGATTACCTCATCCTCGAGATCATTCTTGACGCAGATGCATGCAGCTCTGCGCCTATAACCCTCCGAATCGTAGATACGGATTGAATTTGGCTTCTCCTTCACCATGTTCAGCCGTAAATATCAATAAATCATTCCATACATTTATAAATATTTGTCAGACATCCAAATCCGCCAGCCTATGCACCCGCATTACCCTAACGATATTTGGAACCAACATGTTATTGACATAGAATTCACTCGCGAGATTTGTCTTGCTTCTCACATAACCAATTTCATAACTGTGTATTCCCTGATGTGGAAGATTTTTTCAAGTTGCCGGACACGAGACTAGTCTTCTTCAATACTGCCGTTACTTTCTTCCAAACGCCTTTTATAACCTCAAAACTCTTCAAAGCTCTGCTTAATCGAGTATCCTCTCTACTAATACTTTACGGCAGTTATCCAACGTCTCTAAAATTACAAACGTTCCTAAAGTAATCCACGATGTTCCCTACTTCTTCTTTGACTATTTCAACCAATCCTGTAATACTTCTTAGAGACATTTTCATTTCTATGTGATATGTACTGTAAAATACATAAATAAATAAAAAATAAATAAATAAATGTAAGTTTTGAAATATACAATTAGCTTAATGGTCATATGATACGATAATAATTATTTTTTAAGAATCATCTATTTCATCTATTTTTTTTTGGTTTCTCTTTCGTTACGTAAAATATATCGCTTATATATCGAAATCTTTTAGGTCGTATATTACAAAATCAGAGTTTTATCAATAATTTTCTTTTCTCATTTCGTGTATTTTACATAAATTAGAAATAATCGAATCAGTAACATTGATTATAAAATTAAAATTACAAATTATTATACTTTACATACTTAAAACGTAGTTACGCTGTTGTTTTTAGGATAGATTACTTACCTGAATTTTAGATATTTTATCGAATAATGTCTTGTATCGTAAAAATATTTGCTGCGTTATATCTATTAATATATTATTTGGAATTCATAATTGCACTCAATAATTGATATAATACATATCCACATTTCATTTTATTTTGACTACTTTTCTCTACGCATTTTCAAATTGTCATCGTTTTATTACAGTTATTACTTTATGCAATACATGTCCGATCCCAATATTTCGTGAGTTTTTGTATGTTACTGGAAAATTGACAGACCTGCATCTTTGCATTACAAAAACTATCACGGTGTTACGTTTATCCTTATCATATATAAAAGGGATTAATTATAAGGTAGTTGATTTACAATTAATATTATCATATGTACACGTTTTAGTAACACGGAGAATGCCAATTCTCTAAGAACATAAAAGAGATTATCACATTAGCATAAATTTCAATAGAGAAGGTTAAATCAGAACCTTTATTGTTACTACAGCATCAACAATATTGCGACAAGTCCTCTGCTTGAAATTCTTATACATCCTGGCTCCCCTTTTATGAAAGTATCAAAAATATCCTTTCTAGCATTCATCTCCCAACAAATAACAGAAACGATACATCGTCGTGATAGTAAAATCATTAAAAATATAACTAAATTATCTAAGGTAGAGCTCACCTGCATGGGGCAGGTCCTTTGACTATGATTCGTCCTGTATCTCCCCTTTCCAAAGAAAAAATAATCATCAGTAATGATAAAAACTCTTTTGCTTAATGTTAAATCGACTTCAAGTTGTAAAACTAAGTAAAATTTATAAATATAGTACAATTGATAATAAGCGATAGAGTAATAATAGATTAATTATAGATACGTATAGTTAATAGCATTGTATCGTTGAAACTTATGGCGATTTGTTTTTTAAGTCCTCTCCTTAGTAATAATAGAGTCGAGAATTTAATCAAACGTCCGTTCTGAAGTTTAATTTCAGTGTATCTTGTTCCATTGAACAATCACCGCATGCACCAACCACCATTGCGGACTAGCAGCCACCTTGACTAGCTTTTTTCAAATTTCTGTCGTTATCTCCCTTCCTATTCCCATTGACATAAGTGTCCTCTGGGCCAGACTCTTAATCCACTGTAATCTTCAAAGTGCAAATCAATCTCCAGGGTGTTCAGGGCAGCTACGATTCACTTGAAACCATTTATCAATGCAACTGAAAATATAATTACAATGTAAATATTATAACTTTCGATTTATCTAATAAATTATATACGATAACAAAAGTATATTTGAAATAAAGTATTAAATAAATACATACTTTTTATGATATATACAGAGACAGGGCAAGCGGGCAATAACATCACCAGGCTGTAATTCCTCTAGACAAATAACACATTCACCTTTTTCATCTGCTAATACGTCCTCTGTAATAAAAAATGAAAAAGATTAAAAGCTATTTGGACATTTGTTTTCTTATTATATAATAGCCATGACTCACCATTATAACTGAGACGTGGCTTGGTCAGGCACATTACCAGGTGACACTCTATATCATCCGGTAGGATAAACTTAGAGCATACAGGACACTTTAGACCTTAAACATAAGTATAGTTACTGAGAATGTGTGCATTGATAAAACAACAAAGATTACCTAGAAAAAACTATACCATAAAAAACTCTTCTCACACGATGTACAGGCACTACTTCAGCCTCAGACTCATTCAAGCACGAGCTCACTATAATTCCCATAATAATCCCAACATAACATTAACCGACCCATCCCATGTCGAGATTTCCCATTCCTATCAATCCTTTTCTTATGTCATTTTCAATTAACATTATTTAAAATTTACACTGCGTAAGCCAAACCATCATCGATTGTGTATGGTTACCGGGCCAACCGACCCGGCAACACGTCTAGCGACCTCTTTTAAAAACGCAACGAACGCCGCATATTTATCTAATTTTTTACCAAAAAAATTATTTTCTAAAAAGTCTTTCACATCTTATCGACGGAGCAATAAACATTGAATAGGATACATCTAATATGGAAAATAAAAATACACAAAAACGTGCTCTTAATTGGTTATTTTTATCATCATCGATTATTTATTGAATTTTCATTAATTATATTTTTAATATCAGTCTACAAATATTTAATATGGTTTATATTCAAATCTTAACTGAATAGTTATCTCATATATGCACTTAGGTGTTACAGAAATATTTAATTTGACTAAATGGCGTAGTTCTATGACGCCATTTGTCAACAAAATTTTTAGATAATTTACACTTGTGTTTCTTTATACACAAGTAGAAGAATTTAAATGTATTTCGGTATTTATTATTATGCGTTTGTAAAAAAAAAAAAAAAAGAAAGAAATCTATAAAATAAAATATTCTTGTCGGAGAAATTCTACCGTGACGGATTGTAAGATTCTCATGAATTATATTAGAACACATAGTGGATTGCTAGAAGTAATAATCTCTGACTGATTTCTCAACGAATCTTTTTTTAGACTTCTAGATAATTCTCTGACTAATAAATACGTTCTTTTTATTCATGTCATGTGAAGCTTTATCATTAGCGAATTATGAACTAAATAGAGAACAATCTATTATCGTTCCTAAGAGACTATAAATTCTATCTGATTAAAAAAAGAGGACACAGAAATGCTATGCGATATAAAATTAAGACCATCGGAAAAATTCCTCATTCGCAAGAAAATACTCCCAAATCTTTCGTCAAGTGATTATTGAAAAATTTATAGAAAACATTCGAAAAGCATGAACAAAACATTTAATGAATCGATAAAGAAATTGCGTTTACTTAAGTGTATTAAGAAATCAATAAGATCGATAATTCTATTATCGTAAGAAGAATTCTAGGGGCCATTTTCCCAATGTTTTTACCATAAAATATGCATGATGAATAATCAAAGAATTTTGGTAGATTATTTTAGAACACGTGGCAAAGCGCTACACACGCGCCAAAACAAACGCCCCCTGTCCTACCCGCGATCGTAAGCGGCAAAACTAAGTATGTGAAATTTCGCGGATACAACATAACCTCCTTATCAGTTGATCAAAATTACATTAGATTTTTGATTAGGTTAATCATTATAAATGAAAATATCAAAAAACGCTATACTTGGAATAATTTGGACTCTGTTTTAATGATGAACATATGAATGATAATTTTACGTCAAAAAATGAAGAGAGTAAATGAAAAGATCAAAAAATAAATTTATTTTATGTAAAGAATATTATACGATGCCCTTGAAGATAGCAATTTTAGGAACCAAACGATCAGTAATCGTTATATAACGTTTGCTTGCATAGCCTTGTACAAAGCAAAACAAACTATATAGATTGATAGTAGTAAATGTGTATAAATATAATATTCTACGTGATAAAGAATACATCGAACTTAATTGCATGGAAATAATTAGTTACTAGACCATGTTTACATAGGTAAAAGGGATATAAATGATATGAATGCTCTATACACTGGGACAACCTACCGTTAAGGGACCACATGTGGGAAGGCAAGCTGTGAGCGGCATATACCCTACCGCTATCTTCGTCTGCATCATCATTTTCAAGCTGTGGTAATCCAAGAGCCTGGGCTACTCCAACACCAACAGTAGAAGCAAGAGCACCTTGTTCTCCTGAAGAAAGATCCGGAACAGAACTAAGAGAACGTGCACGTTGTCTATTATCTCCTGATACTCGAGAAGTCTGCGACTGATTTCCTTGTTGATGTTGATGCTGCAACATGCCAACACCTCCAGGCAAGGAACGAAGCACAGAAAAACCTTGCATCGTAGTTTCATTGGTCCCAGTAGATGATTGACTGTTGCCTCCTGCAGATTGTGCTACGGTACTTGCCCTGACACCCATTTCAATTACTATTAAAGTCACGTATTCCTTCAGAATCCTTCAATTTTAATCCAAATAGTCTTATTTCTTTGTTAAAACAGTATCTGTTATTTCGTTTCGTGGTTCTGGCAGTGTTACATGCACTGTTACAGTTTCCACGAACAATTTCCGTCTTCTGATTTTGCACCGCTGGCAACACACACTTAAGATGTTAAATAATTCCACCGGCAAGATTACAATACTATGTGATTTAATTTAGGCCGGAATTTTAAAGGCGTTCGCCACGACAAGCAAGTCATTTCGCCCAAGAACATAGCGGCTCATCGCGCAAAACATCCCCCGACATCTTGCGAGAAAACTTCCTAAAAGTCAAAGCGGTCAGCTTATGCAGATATTCCAGTTCTGTCACATGCGTTTCCATCTTGGTTTACGAACGACTTTTGAGTTAGTTCAATATTTTGACTAACACAGATTAGTTTAGAAAAATTCTATTTCAATTTTTGTGGAACATTCATTCGTTAGAATCAGGTAGGATCATAATAATACTTTGGAAGTTATCCTTTCGGATTGGCTATTACGTATTTGTCCAATTTAGAGCTCGAAAATTGGATCCAGAGAAAAAGAAATAGTGAAAAGAAACTATACTCATTGTATGACATAAAA